TTTTCCCTTTTGATAGCTATTGTCAAATCACATGGTTTTGACTCTTGGAGACCTGAGTTTAAACTTGCTAAATGCTGTTTTGTTATTTTCATTTAGTATATTTCACTAACGGGTTAATAGTATAATTATGAACACAAAGTAATCTATTATATGGAGCATTAGGTTAAAGTCCAGTTGTTTCATAGATTTGAAGTAGTGGCATACTGGTTCCTTAAGGGAGAACTTCAGTTTCTGTAAAGTCTTTGCTCAGACTGCCTGTTCTTCTTTCTCAGACCCAATGATTCTCGCATGCTGGTTGCTTTAGGAGAATGTTACGAGAAACTCAATCAACTAGTGGAAGCCAAAAAGGTACCTTAAATTGGGTTCTGAAGAATTTGGGTGGAGATCTGCTATTTAGATGAATGTGGGGCTATCTGTGCTTTAATTTTTCCCTTATTCTGATATAGGTACATAGGAAAGTCTGAATATTTGTACATACATAGTATGAAAGCAAAGCTGGGCCAAGATCATCAGTGGAAATGTCAGTATGTAGCCTAGACCTATCAGAACTAGTAAAAATGCCTTGCATTCTATAAATCTGAACCTCTGGGAGGCTTGCAGGGTCTTAACCTTCGTATGATTTAGTAATGGCATATGGGACAATGGTCAAAATTATCAGTTTATTTTTTTGACAGTGTTATTGGAGAGCTTACGCCGTGGGAGATGTGGAGAAAATGGCCCTGGTGAAACTGGCAAAGTGAGTGAAAGGAGTGAAATGCTATTGATATTTCTGTGGGCTTCTCTGGGATGGTGGGTCCTGCATGCTCTAGAGCTTCCTATCTACCCATCATTCTACCTGGGTGTGGGGATGTAGCAGGATGTATGAAAGCTGTCTGCGAATGTAGCCATTTTGACCTTAGAGAATGCCACTTCTGGCTGGGCGTGGTGGTTCATGCCTATAATCCCAGCACTTTGGGAGCCCAAGGCAGGTGGATCACCTGAGGTCAGCAGTTTGAGACCAGCCTGGCCAACATGGTGAAACCCTGTCTCTATTAAAAATATGAAAATTAGCCAGGCATGGTGGCGGTTGCCTGTAATCCCAGCTACTCAGGAGGCTGAGGCAGGAGAATTGATTAAACCCTGGAGGTGGAGGTTGCAGTGAGCTGAGATTGCGCCATTGCACTCCAGCTGGGCGACAATAGTGAAACTCTGTCTCAAAAAAAAGAGAATGCCACTTCTCTTGAAGGAGGGCAGTTGCTTTCCTATTAAAGCAAGGGATCAAGAATGATTTGAAGAAAGAAATGAGGAAATTTTTGTGTCAGAGCAGTGTAGGAAAACTACTTTCAATCTTAATTTCCTGATAGGGGCCAGAAAAATTAGGAATAACTCAAATAGTAGGCAAAAAGTTTCTTTTTTTTTTTTTTTGAGATGGAGTTTCACTCTTGTTGCCCAGGCTGGAGTGCCATGGTGCAGTCTCGGCTCACCACAACCTCTGCCTCACGGGTTCAAGCGATTCTCCTGCCTCAGCCTCCTGAGTAGCTGGGATTACAGGTGTCTGCCACCACGCCTGGCTAATTTTGTAGTTTTAGTAGGGACAGGGTTTCTCCATGTTGGTCAGGCTGGTCTAGAACTCCTGACCTCAGGTGATCTGCCTGCCTTGGCCTCCCAAAGTGCTGGGATTACAGTGGTGAGCCACTGCACCCGGCCTCTTTTTTTTTTTGGGATGGATTCTTGCTCTGTTGCCCAGGTTGGAGCGCAACCTCTGCCTCCTGGGTTCAGATGATTCTCCTGCCTAAGCCTCCCAAGTAGCTGGGATTACAGGTGCATGACATGACACTGAGCTAAATATATACAGTATTTAGTAGAGATGGGATTTTACCATGTTGGTCAGGCTGGTCTCGATGTCCTGACCTTGTGATTTGCCTACTGCGGCCTCCCAAAGTGCTGGGATTACAGGGGTGAGCCACTGAGTCATCACCCAACCCCGGCTTTTTTTTTGAGTCAGAGTCTTACTCAAAAAGACTGGGGTGTACTGGCACAATCTGGGCTCATTGCAACCTCCACCTCCCGAGTTCAAGCAGTTCTCCTGCCCCAGCCTCCTGAGGTGGGATTACAGGCATGTGTCACAACGCCTGGCTAATTTTTGTATTATTATTTTTTTTTTTAAGCAGAGATGGGGTTTCACCTTGTGGGCCAGGCTGATCTCAAACTCCTGACCTCAAGTGATCTGCCCGCCTTGGCCTTCCAAAATGCTGAGATTACAAGCATGAGCCACCTTACTCTGGGTAATCCTCGAGAATTTTTGCAAGGATGTATTGTCTAGCTTAGATAGTAATGTTTATTAACTCTCCTTCCATCATTAGCAGAGTAATGATTTTAAGCTTTGATAACAGTAACTATCACATCTAATACTATTCTAGTTCCGAAGGTATCATTTATGTCAAAATTGATACTTACCCATGTATTGTTGTTTTTTTGGTCTTGTGTACTTTTACTTTTTATCACTAAGTTGCTTTGAGATATCATTTGTACTTAAAAGACTAGTTTCTTTTGTAGGCTTCATGAACAGTTGACTGAGTCAGAACAGGCCGCCCAGTGTTACATCAAATATATCCAAGATATCTATTCCTGTGGGGTATGTATCATACCATTAGAATTATCTTGCTGTTATTATTACTGTCACCTCAGTCATTTTGCTTTCCCTTTCTAGGAAATAGTAGAACACTTGGAGGAAAGCACTGCTTTCCGCTATCTGGCCCAGTACTATTTTAAGTGCAAACTGTGGGATGAAGCTTCAACTTGTGCACAAAAGTGTTGTGCCTTCAATGATGTGAGTATCAGTTCTTTAATAAAAGGTTTGGATTTTAGGCTAGAACACAAGATCTTTACCATGCTGTGGGGGTGGAAGGAAGAATTTAAGTGGAAAGCTACCTGCTACCAAAAATAAATTTTGCCAGGTTTGGTGGTGCATGCCTGTGGTCCCAGCTACTCGGGAGGCTGAGGTGACAGAGGACTTGAACCTGAGAGGTTGAGGCTACAGTGAGCCTCGATCACACCACTGCAGTGTAGCCTGGGTGACACAGTGAGACCCCATCTCCAAAAAAAAAAAAAAAAAAGCAAGCTACGTGCCTGTCTTGATCTATGGAACTTGTATATCAGCATCTTTTTTTTTTTTTTTTTTTTTTTTTTGAGATGGAGTTTTGCTCTTGTTGCCCAGGCTGGAGTGCAATGGTGTACTCTTGGCTCACCGCAACCACTGCCTCCTGGGTTCAAGTGATTCTCTTGCCTCAGCCTCCTGAGTATCTGTGATTACAGGAATGGGCCACCACACCCAGCTAATTTTGTATTTTTAGTACAGACAGGGTTTCTTTATGCTTGTAAGGCTGGTCTTGAACTCCTGACCTCAGGTGATCCTCCCGCCTTGGCCTCCCAAAGTGCTGGGATTACAGGAGTGAGTCACCACACCCGGCCATATATCAGCATCTTAATAACTTGTTTTTGAGACTAGCTCTGGACATGTTTTGAAACATTTGCCTGACTTTGTTGCAGACCCGGGAAGAAGGTAAGGCCTTACTCCGGCAAATCCTACAGCTTCGGAACCAAGGCGAGACTTCCACCACCGAGGTGCCTGCTCCTTTTTTCCTGCCTGCTTCACTGTCTGCTAACAACACCCCCACACGCAGAGTTTCTCCACTCAACTTGTCTTCTGTCACGCCATAGTTGGTTACTCTCGAGCCAGCATATTGTTAGACTCATCTTAATTAAGCCTTACCTCTATGTAACAAACAGTACGTCTGTTCCAAGGACCTCAGCTCTTGTTTCTATAGATGGCCATAGCTCCATAGGGACAGCTTGTGTAATTACCCTCAGAGGCTGGCTGACAGAATACTGGCAGGAACAGACATTGTCTTGCCAGTTAGAAGTACTTCTATCTTACTGCTGTCCAGAGTGGCTTTAGATCTTGGCCTTTTCTGAATGCTTTTTAAAATCTTTTTGCCCCCAAGAAAGTCCCTTTAATAGCACTTTAGCACAGGCAATGCTACAGAAGTGTCAGTGCTGCTGAGAGTGGAAGAAAGGCAAAGAAAGGAGGAAACTCTGCCACTCTACCCTCAGCTGGCCGTAGTAGGGCACTGAGTACCCTAGGAAGAAGTCAGAGCAATGGATACAAATGACCTTGCTCTTAGATTTGCTGAGCAGGATCCCTATTCTGATGTCAGAGATTAGGTTTAAGTGAATTAGAGCTATCCATTTGTTCTTACTCTATGGAGACAATCTTCCAAAACAGTTTTGAGGGGTTTTCTAAAAGCTTTCAAATTGGAAGTAACTTCCTAAAGTTGAATAAAAGAAGGTCAAAAAAGAATCTCACAGAGTTTGGGACTGCTGATAGCCCTTATTGAGGGCAAAAGATGGCTATATTGTTAGCTATACTCCTACCAAAGCAAAGCAAGGAGGTAGGATTATAATTTCACAGACATTTGGAAATAATGTTTGTGACTATCCATACAAGAATAAACTCACTTCAAGCTGGTCTGTTTTAATGAATTTTCAATGTAATTGTCTATTATTTTTTCCCTCCTATCTGCAACAGAATACATTTTTTCAGCCTTTATCTAGATGATAAAGGAAATCATTCTTGTGGTGCTCTTGGAGAGTTTCAGGCCTGTGCTTGTGTATACAGCAGGAGGTAATATGCTATGTCTGCTGTAACGAATTTGTACAGTAGATGCTATGGATCATTCTGAGCTTAGGGTCCAGACTTCATTCTTATTCCCAGAATTTTGTGTTACCTTTTTACCTCCTAAAATATGACACTTCATCTTATATTAAGGAAGGTTTAGAATATCTACTACCTGAATTCATTTCTTACTAAGCCTTCTTAGGCAAGCTGTATACTAGTTACTGGTCTCCACTGCCATGCTTTTTCAAGGTTCCCATGGTCCAGAATGATGTTTGATTCTCAATTTTTCTGTCTCCTTTATAATTTGTTTTAATGATTTTGCTACATTTGGAATTCAATTAAAAAAATGTGAACAATAATATCTTTAATATAACTTTTTTGTGTGTGCATAGAAACCATATAAGTAAAAAAAAAAAAAAAAAAAAGAGATTACATAGGTGATTATAATACAAAAGTGGGAAAAAAACCTTACTGATATATGGTAAAGCTTAAAAGAGACCTATTTGTTCAGAAGAGCAACCGACCCACCTCAGGGTCATGACTGCTCTTCTCTTTCCCCACAGCCTTAGTACTTTTTGCCAAAAGGCCCGGATTTGAGTAAAGGGGAGCGCCGTGAGCGTAGGATTCGGGCATAAGGGCTGCAGTCTGTTGAGCTTTGGCAGGTTGGTGTCCGGGGAAGTAAATTTCGAAGAAACGGTTTCTTCCCTGGAGGCTGTTGGTTTGGTTGCTGGTTTTCCTGATTGTTACCAAGGCGCTTTTTGGCAGAAACCTGGCCTTGGAGTTTTAGCACTGTATGATACTGCTCAGCAATACATGCTGCCTTCTTCCGAAGGTCCAGTTTGACTAGCACCATGTTGTTCTGCAATTCAGCCAGAGTCTGGTCCTAAGGAAGATCAATAAAGTTATAGAAAACACTTTTGTCTGGTAGATTAGAGAAACAGGGCTAATACATACCACCCATTACCAGTTATTAATAACTGTTTCTTCAAAGATTAAAACTCTTTAATGTCAGAGCTTATAATGGATAAGGGGGCATTTTCTGAGACCAAAATATAAGCAGTGCTGAATAGGACATCTTCTAACCCATAAGGTAGTACGAGCTTGAGTAAATTTAATTTCCAAGCACCTTAGTCTCTAGATATCAAATTAAATGTTGAGCTTAGTTTAAGATATAGTTTTATTTATTTATTTTTTAAGATGGGGTTTCACCATGATGGCCAGGCTGGTCTTGAACTCCTGACCTCAGGTGATCCACCCACCTCAGCCTCCCAAAGTGCTAGGATTACAGGCGTGAGCCACCACGCCCAGCCCAAGATATACAGTTTTAATATCTCTGGGATCAGGATGCATCTTACTGATAAGAAATGTCATAGCTAAATTGTTAATTTTTTTCTTAGCAGTACATAAAACAATGGTTTTTTAGATGAAATAGAACAGTAACTACCTCCCTAAGGTGGTTGTGACAGAAAATGCCTATAAATTACTTAGCATAGTGCCTGGTACTTAGTAAATGCTTAACAAAAAAATAGTTATTTTTATTTTGCAAATATACTGCTGTCACTCTAAGTTCAGCCTAAAAATCTTTACCTTTTTCTTCTGGTCCTCTTTCCTTTCTCACATATACACTGGAGTGTGCTAGTGGGAGAGAAGTGGGTAGTTTGCCCTAACCTGTTTTATTAAGATGTCATCACAAGTGGTCAAGGCTTGACGAAGTTTTCCTGCCCCAGTGCTGTGGCAACAAGCTCTCTCTGCTGATTGGAGAGACTCACCAAGTTTCTGAAGCTCTGTCCGCAGTAGCCTTATATTCTGAAAAAGGGGAAGTAGGAATCGGATTGTGGGCAAGAGCAACCAGTATAATAATCTGCAGGGGTCAGGTAGCCTTTTGAAGAGAAGTAAAATTAGAAAGGCTAGTGAGCTGAGTGAAATAGCTACCCTCCAGCATCTTGTCTTCCCATGAACCAGTGATAGACTGTTGGATGTGGGAAATGCCTTAGGTAAGAGTTTGGTAAACAGAGAAAGGTAATTACCTTCTGGCCCTCTTCTAACTTCTTGTCCACATCAGTGGTGAAGGGCTTGGCTGAGGGTGGTGGTTCTAACATTTTCTGATACTTATGCAACTCTGAGGGAAGGAAACGGGAAACTATAAAATATGTGGGTTTTTTTTTTAGCCGTGGCCCAATCTCTTCAACTGAGTTAAAAGTAGCTTGTAGCAAATATAAAAAGTGAGGCTATGTGCACCCTAGATTGAAATGTCAGGGGGCTGTAGCTTGCAGTTAGGAAATTATGTTAGAGCAAGAGTCAGAAGGCCTGGGTTTGAGTAACAGCTCGTCCCTGAACCAGTTATGTTTCCTGCCTGTCCCTTTCCTCACCTTCAGTGGTGGAGTTTAGCTCTGCTTTGCACTGCTGTAATTTAGCTTTAACCTCCTGAAGCTGCTGGGTGGAGGCAGAAGCTGCCAACCTTTGTGACCGCCGTAGGGACAGTTCAGACCCTGATTGCTGTTGGGCCACCGACTGTTGTCTGGCTTCCTGCAAGAGAGCTTCTAGCTCTTCAATCTTTTCATCTCGCTCCTAAGAGGGAAGCAGAGAGCACAATTCTGTGCAGAGCCAGAAAAATATTGCCGAGGCAGATGACTGAACAGACACTGATCCCTTGAAAACCTATTGTTAGCACTTAATACGATTTCCTGGCCAACTAAACCCTTAATCAATTCACCAAACATTGATTGAACCCAAAGCACTAAGAGGAACAGAGAAAATATATTCCTGCCCTTACTGGAGTAGTTTACAAAATCTCTTTACTTCAGGCAAGCTAGTGATGGAAATCTGAGCAGTTAGTTGGAGCTGGCTCAGGGCAACTCACCTGAATCTCTTCTTGGTAAAAACTTGTCAGTGACTCCTTAAGGATATTTAGTTTTTCTTCATACATTTCCTCCAATAGTTCCTTTTGGGTGTCCAAATGTTCACTGTCAGAAACAGAGGCGAAAAGAGAAGTAAGTGAAGATTCTGAGGAGTGAACTTGGGGAACAGATCTTGAGGCACAACTCCACCCAACTCCTTACTTCCTACCCTCTGTCCCAGGTGTCCCAGAGGGATCACTCAGCTAGTACCTGCACCACTGCTCCCGCTGTTGCATCTGTTCTACCATCTCAGTGCAGATTTCATCTCGGAGCTGCATCTCCAGCTGCAACTTTTCCTGTCGTTCTTTCAAAAGCAGTACCTTCATGGCTTCCACTACTTGTAGAAGCTCCTAGGAGAGACACACATGTCAGAGGTCATCAGATGCCCATGTCCTCAAGAGGCACAAGCCCACCTGGAAGGCACCACAGAAAATGTGTAGCTACTAAGCAGCTGCACCAAAGCCTTCTTGTCTTCTCACCTCTTTGCCATACATGGAGACATCAGCTTCATTTTCAGTGTCATTATCAAGGCCTGCGTCTGCCTTAGCCCCTTTCTCTAAGCGGGGGGATGACTGAAGACTATGTTCCTTGATGAATGAGTAAAGGGATGGGAATCCTAGTTGCACAGGTGGGGCATGTACAAGCTAGAGAGAAAAAAAATATCTTACTTGACTCTATATGTAGTCCCTAGGAGCTTTCTTAGAATTACCAGTTCCAAGTGAGCATACCCATCATACCTCTAGCTTCTCACCTGGCTAGCAATGGCTGAGAACTTGGCCACATGAAGAGTCTCATCATAGGTGGATGCACAGGGATTCACATTGACAATCATGCAGGAACGGCCTCGGCCTGTGAAGAAACCTTGGAACACTCGAGTCAACTTGCTGTCGCGGAAGGGAACCAAGTTCTGCTTTGAGCTGGCAGAGAATCAGAGATATTAGAGCTATGAGCAGAACAGTAGCCTTTGGGGGTAGCCTAGCACCAGTGGTGACCAGGAAGTCTCTTAGCAAATTGCAGAGCCTAGGGCTTATAGTCAAAACCTCACCGGTTCTGCTGGTTCTGGCGAAGGGCAGCAATACAGCGGCCCAGGGTGTGCAGAGAGGTGTTAATGTTTCCTGCTTCCTTCAACCGTTCACCACTCTTCTGATCTTTGCAGCGCTCTGAGCCAGCCAGATCACAGAGTGACAGCCTAGAATGATGCACAGGATCTGACAAGGGCCTCATGTGTTATGAGCCTTCTGGCCCTTTGTATAATTCTGGAGAGGGGAGGGCCCACTAAGAATCTCTGCACCCAAAAAAGGAGAACAAGTTCCCCTAAGAACCTCCCCCATGCTTTGCCAACTACCATTTATGACCAACAAGCCCAAATTTCAAAATGGAAAAACTTACTCGCTGATCTTGGGGACTATATCTCCTTCCCCTTGAAGGTGTAGGATCCTGATTGAGAAGATGCTATGACTGGAAGTTATGAAAAACAGAAAGTCATTGCACATCTTCCATGACCAGGCAGAACACTAACGTTTCCTGGAACACAGTGAAGTTTATTCTTAAAATCTACTCACCTGCGGCTGGAGTTCTGGTTGAGGTGGGTGCTGGCAAAGCTCTGGTTCTTACGACCCACTTTCAGGAGCTTCCAGGCCTCCTCAGCATCTTGAACATGAATCCAGTTGAGATCTGAGGCCAAAGTAGAGAAGGGTATAAGAGGGAACATCCAACTCTTTTGCCAGTCTCTCCCCAGTTGCCCTCCAGCATTCATGCCAGCTTCCCCCATTTCCCATACCTTTCACATAGGGATTGCCATTTTGATCCTCGCATAGCCGCAAAGTCTGCCTCTTGCGCTGCTGGCTAGGCGGTTCTAATAGGTCATAAAGCAGTTCGTTGTAGATCTCAAAGAACGAGATCCAGACGGAGAAGCGAATGTCTGCTGGGACAGGTACTGGGGCAGTGTCTGGCTGTGCCCATCGGTGACTTGTTTCTGGGGAAGAAGCCAATGTATAGGGCATTAGCCTAGAGCAGTTCATCTCTCTTTTGGCCTGCAGGGGCCTCGGAAGGCAGACCTCAGATTGTAACCTCTGGTCTGTACTCCGGGCAGCTGTTAGGAACAGGGAGTGGGTTCCTGCTGTTTCTTGGCAGAGCCCAGTCATCATACATACCATCCAGCTGGCTACTGCTGGTATACTGACTGATGGAAGAGAGCCCAGAAATGCCACTGTCAAAGCTGGTGCTGGTACCTATCCGACTTTCAATGTAAACACTCCTCTTCAAGGAAGTGGACAGCTCCTCCTGGAGGGGCACAGGGAGAAGGTAAGCACGAAAGTTCCCTAGATTTGTACCCCCTGCCCCCACTGCCATGGATATCAATGCTTTACCTCTTGGAGGCCTCCATTTAGTAGGGATAGCTTCTTCATTTCCTCCTGTCGGATCTGCTTGCTGTCTAGCCAAATTACCTCATTGGAGAGCAAGGGTTTCAGATCAGGTGTTGGATGAAGTTGGCCTTGGAGGCTATTGAAGATCAGTGCCAGAGACCGGGGGAGAATCCCTCCATCCTTGATGGTACCTGGAGGCATATGAAAGATGGACAGCTGAGGCAAGTGTCTTACTCCCCCTAACTCAGAGTATCAAAAGGTAAAAACAACGCCATTACCAGCCAATCAGGAATCCTGTGAAGTGTTGCTACTCACCTTGAATCGTGTGGGTTTTCCCTGAGTTAGTGACTCCATATGTATAGATGAGCCAGTTCTGGCCTTTGAGTACATCTTTTACCATCTCCTTCACAGTTAGGTTGAAGAAGGATGCCTGTCCCACTTCTGGCCCAAAGATCTAGAGAGAGACCCAGATTTTTAGTGGCCTATCCTTCATCTCCCACTTGCCTCCTGTGCAAAGCCACAGATATATTTCTTCCTGAGTGGTTGGCTCCGGAGACCACTCAAGCAGCTTATTCTTGCAGTGCTGCCATCTGTTCCCCAAACACTGAGGACTAAGCACTCTCTGCTAGTCCATCTTTCACCCAAATCAACAAACACTTAAGGAATGTTATGCTCTAGGCCTGATGCTGTACACACAATGGGGGCAATATAATGGCCCCCAAGCATGGGCTTTGGAGATACATGGATCTAGACTCAGGTCCTAACTCTACCAATGACTAGCTACATGGCTTCAGCGATATTACATTCGCCACATTATCCTTGTCAGGAAAATAAGGAAATAATGATAATATAATTTGTTGGAATTGATATACATATATTATTTGACATAGTGACTAACATATAACTAGGGCCCTCAAAATTGTAAGTGTGCATATACAAGGAACTCACAATCAAGCAGAGGGGCTTTCCCTCCAAAGAGGGAATAAAGTTGCCCTTACATGTTGGTCCTTTGTTCACAAACCAGTACCCTCCATACCTGGGAAAAGGTGAACCTGTGGGTGGCTTGGCCAATTCCCCGCTCGTTGCTTTTCAGGGCAAAAGAGTCCTTGGGTGCTTGTAGAACAAGGGTCTCCATATTCTCAATATGGACACAACCCTGAGGGGAGAGAAAATACAGTTGTCACAGAAGGCATTCCTGGGAATCTCTTTTGTGCTGCATCATTTCACCTTAAATCCTCCCTTCTCAGACACTCACCTGATCTTCCTGTCGTTCCAACTCTGAAGGTAATAAGGGCCTAACCCTTAGGTATACTTTCACCTTCTCCATACTGTCCTCAGATGGAACCTGTGGTATAATTCCAGCCCAGAACCACAGATTAATTTCAGCAGTTACCTCTGAGCAAATGGACAAACAGTAGTTTCTAGGAACCATGATAATACTACCCCACTTCCCCTCAAATGTCTCCATGCAGCCACTCTTTGGTTTTATAATTATTCCAACCCAAATAGACATTTTTATGACTTTGTCACCCTTCCCTGTCTTATCGTTATCCTGCAAACCTGGTTTGCCACACCAATGATCTGAGTTAGAATTTGTTGACTGGTATGAAAATTGGTATGTGCTAGTAAAGTAAAGCAGAGGCAGACACACTTGAATTTGAGTCCCAATTCCATCACTTAGTAACTATGAGACCTTGGACTATGAGTTCTTTAAATTCTTTGCCTCAGTTTCCTCATCTGTAGAATGGGGTTAATAATAGCACCAACATCATTCATTCAACAGATATTTAGAGGGTAGGTGCGGTGCCTCACACCTGTAATCCCAGCAATTTAGGAGGCTGAGGGGGGCAGATCACTTGAGGTCAGGCGTTCGAGACCAGCCTGGGCAACACAGCAAAACCCCATCTCTACTAAAAATAGAAAAATTAGCTGGGCTTGGTCGTGGGTGCCTGTAATCCCAGCTACTCAGGAGGCTGAGGCAGGGAGAGTTGCTTGGGCCCAGAAGGTGGAAGTTGTGCCACTGCACTCCAGCCTGGGCAACAGAGCAAGACTCCATCTCAAAACAAAAACAAAAAAACCCCCAGATATTTAGAGAGTGACTACTATGGTCTAGGAACACAGAAGCTCTGACAGTCCATAGTGAGAGACATCATCAAGGACCATGTTCTTATGGAACTTTATAAGTCTAAGAGAAATTCCATAAGAGGACAAAATGTAACAATGTGCGGTAATGTTTAGCATAGGACCTAGTACAGTGTTGCTCAGCCAGGGTCATTTTCACTCCAAGGGCCATTTAGCAATGCCTGAAGTACCTGAAGACATGTTTTGATTGTCATGAGTGGGAAGGCACTACTGACATCTAGTGGGTAGAGGCCAGGAATGCCGCTAAACATAACGCACAGGACAGATCCCGGGAAGAACTGTCTAGCCCCAAATGTCAACAATGCTGTGACAGAGAAACCCTGACCTAGCAGGAAAGCTACAACAAATTGAAGCTGTGGTGATACTATTAAAATCTGAACTGTGCATTCTACTTACATGATGCCTATATGACCTTGTGCAAATTATTTAGCACAGCTGGGCCTCAAGACAAAGAGAGATAACTATTATCGTTCCCTGAGAGATTGACAGCATGCACTTGAGGGTATTTCACTAATGCAATGCAAACAATAGTTCTTGTGGACACACAACTCTCAATTTTTTTTTTTTTTTTTTTACTTATCATGCCCTTAAATTTTTTTTTTCTTTTTGTAACCATTTTGTCCCAAATGCTCTTAATTTTGAATTGATCTCTCAGCCATTCAGGATTTTTAGTCTCTGACCTCATATTACCCTGTATGGACAACTATTGGCCTGAGGATATCACTTTCTGCCCCAGCCACTCCCCAGTTCCTTTACCTGCTGCTTGTCCTCCAGGGAGGCAGAGATGACAGAGCAGTCTGACAGAAGGTTCTTGCGTACCACAGATCCCAAATCTGCAGCTGTAGATTCAAACATGGGAGAGACTACGACATCGTCATCGGACAGCAAGCCCACTGGTGGAGAAAGGATCCCTTGCGACATGATGGCAGGGGCAGCCTAGGTCTAAAAAGAGACAAAAACGTGGGCAGGACGAACTTTTAGCAACAGAAGAGGCTGCGAATTTTAGAGGAGAAGTCCTTTACTCCAGGACACCAGGTCCCGCTCCCTACTTCCTTTCTCCTCCAATTATCGGCAAAAGGGAAGGGAATGAAAGAAGTTCACTTAATGAACAACTGGGAGAAGTCTGAGGTGGCTTTTTTTTTTTTTCCGAGACGGAGTCTCACACTCTCGCCCAGGCTGTAGCGCCGTGGCGCGATCTTGGCTCACTGCAATCTCCGCCTCCTGGGTGGCAATTCTCCTGCCTCAGCCTCCCGAGTAGCTGGGACTACAGGCGTGCACCACCACGCCCAGCTATTTTTTTTGTGTTTTTAGTAGAGACTGGGTTTCACCGTGTTGGCCAGGATGGTCTTGATCTCCTGACCTCGTGATCCGCCCGCCTCTGCCTCCAAAAGTGCTGGGATTACAGGCTTGAGCCACCGTGCCCGGTCTTGGGGTGGCATTTCTGAACGCGACCAGAAGTCCACAGAAATCTGGCCCCAAAAGCAGAAGGCCAAGCCTCAAGTAGGGCGTCTCGCCCGCCGGTGCTGTGGAGGTGGTGTCAGGATCCCTCGGCTTCTTCTCTAACCTCACCCCAAGGCTCACGGTGAGAACAAAGATGCAGCATTAAGAGAAAGAGATGGCTGCAGCTCCGCCTTCTTAAAGCCTATTCCGCGCGGGCAAGAGCTGGTAACCCGGACTCCAGCCCAGCAGCAAACTTACCCGAAGACGTGCCACTTGATCCTCCTTGGGTACCAGCTCGCTCACACCTGGTCTCCAAACCTGGACTTTCGCCGCCGGAGAGCCGAACTCCGCCCTCGAGGGGCAGCTTTGTTACCGATACAATATTTTAAATTACGCGCTGCGTTTGTTCGGCCAATCAGATAGCGAAGCCTGTAGCTACCAATCCACGTAAGGAAAGGGGGCGGACCTGACTGGAATTCCAGTCGTTTGCTTCCGCTTGACCTCTCAAATCTAATGTAGATCCGGGTTACCAACTGTCGCGATTTCGGAGTTATTTCGCCTGGGATTTTTCCAACTTAACCCTTTTCCTTGAATCCTAGACATTTCTTATCCAAGCAGCATAAAGAAAATCTTGAGGTTTCAGCGTCCAACCCTTGTCCTGCCTTAGCAACACTGTTAACAGAAGTGCACAAGATAACTGGTTTAGGGTGCTAGCTTCGTCTTAGGGAGGAAAAAACGACATTTCCCAGGAGACACCGCGAACCAACGCCAATACTCTATTTCCCAGAATTCCCGGGTTTCGGCCCTACCAGACCGCCTCTCCTCAGGGTTGGAGACTTCAGGGCCAAGATGGCGACGGGAACGGGGAGTGAGTATCTGAGCAGGTTTTGCGTGAAAGGCCTTTGTAGATTCGAGGCTAGGCATCGTATTTTTGTTACACCACTAAGGAGTAGGAGAAGTGGTTTGCTTGAGAGCCCAGGATTTTCAGAGACCTGCGCTCCACAGTATCGTGAAGACCAACGTTTGGGGCCCCAGAAATCTGGGGACTTGTTTCTCAGGGAGGGAGCGGAGGTTTGAGAGAAGCAGCTTACTGAATCCGAGTGTGTTAGGAACTCTGCGGGGTAACCGTAAAAGCACTCTAGAAACTTGGGCGTGCAGACTGAAAGATGTGAGCCAGTCGGAGTAACCGGCGTCTCAAAGAGCCATTCATTTTCTGACCTACGTTTGTGAGGCAGTAGAAATCGGGTCTTTTAACAATGAGCTTTTCCTGCTACTGAGAAGATTGCGTCTCGGGCATTTCAGACATTTTTCTTTTCGTGGACTGAAAGTCTTCTAGGCCTGACGTTTGGAGTAGAGGAGCTGAGAGAAGTAAACAAGTTTATGCTAAGAGGGAGGCGGGGTAGTAGGAGGTTCTGGCCGCTCGGCTTCCTGGGAAATAAGCCCTCGCGTTTAAGCTGGAATAAAACTGGGCTTTTAGTGAGAACTGCCTAATCTGACATTCCCTATTTTTTTAATAAAGCGGAGCTTAAAGCCATGGCGTTTTAAGAAATAAAATGTTATACTGTAATTCGCCTGCAACTAGGTACCACCTTCACTGGTGGTATTTCACTTGGAGAGGTGAAAATCGAGATTTGGTGTTAGTAGCTCATTTTGTCCTAACAAGTTGGAATGTGTCTGTGTGTCTGTCTCTCTCTCTCTCTCTCTCTCTCCCCCCCTCTCTCCCCCCCTCCCTCCCTCTCTCCCTCCCTCCCTCTTTCCCTCTCTCCCTCCCTCTCTCCCAGAACACAAGCTGCTGAGTACTGGCCCCACAGAGCCGTGGTCCATCCGAGAGAAGCTGTGTTTAGCATCTTCTGTCATGAGAAGTGGAGATCAAAACTGGTAAGGTATCTAGGATGTCAGCTCTCCTGAGTCTTAGAAATTGTTGGATATGCTTTCATGTTGGTAGATTTCTGTAGTTAATCGTATTAAGCTGTAAGTAGACTTTCTTTTCTTTTTTCTTTTTCCTTTTTTTGTGAGACGGAGTCTCACTCTGTCGCCCAGGCTGGTGTCCAGTGGCGCGATCTCTGCCCACTGCAACCTCCGCCTCCCAGTCCTGTGTTCAAGCAACTCTCCAGCCTCAGCCTCTCGAGTAGCTGGGATTACAGGTGCGTGCCACCATGCCGAAATAATTTTTTATTTCTTAGTAGAGATGGGGTTTGCCATGTTGGCCAGGCTGGTCTCAAACTCCTGACCACAAGTGATCAGTCCACCTCAGCCTCCCAGAGTGCTGGGATTACAGGTATGAGCCACCTTGCCTGGCCATGCCTGGCTAATTTTTTTTTTTTTTTTTTTTTAATTGAGATGGGGTTTCACCATGTAGGTCAGGCTGGTCTCGATCTCCTGACCTCATGATCTGCCCTCCTCCGCCTGCCAAAGTGCTGGGATTACAGGTGTGAGCCACCGAGCCCAGCTGTTCTTTTTTTTTTTTTTTTTGAGACAGGGTTGCACTCTGTGGCCTAGGCTGGAGTGCAGTAGAGTGATCTTGGCTCACTGCAACCTCCATGTCTGGGGCTCAGGTGATCTTCCCACCTCAGCCTCTTGAGTAGCTGAGACTATAGGCACACACCATCATGCCCAGCTAATTTTTTTGTAGAGATGGGGTTTCATCATGTTTCCTAGGCTGGTCTCAAACTCGTGGGTTCAAGCAATCTGCCCATCTCGACCTCCCAACCTACTGGGATTACATGTGTGAGCCACCAGGCCAGCTGTATTTCCTTTTTATTTATTTTTTACTTTTATTATTATTTTTTTTTTACCTTTTTTTTTTTTTTTAGACCATGTTGGTTGGGTGGGTCTTGAACTCCCAACCTGTGGTGATCTACCTGCCTTGGCCCCCAAAGTGCTTGGATTACAAGTACGAGCCACCACGCCCAGCCTGTATTTCTTTTTTTAAACAGCTTTATTGAGATATAACTCACATACTATATAATTAACCTACTTAAAATGTACAATATAATGGTTTTTAGCATATTCACAGTTGTACAACCATCACCACAATCTAATTTTAGAACATTTTCCTTATTTTTAAGAGAAACCCCATACTCCTTAAGTGTCAGTTCATGTTGTCCCCTCCTTACCACCCCCAAGCAAACTCTCATCTACTTTCTATTAATTAATTAATTAGAAGCAGGCTAACTGTCATCCAGGCTGGAGTGTAGTGGCACGATCTTGGCTCACTGCAACCTCTGCCTCCTAGGTTCAAATGATTCTCGTGCCTCAGCCTCCCAAGTAGCTGGGATTACAGCTATGCACCACCACGGGTGGCCTGGTTAATTTTTGTATTTTTAGTAGAGATTTTGTATTTTTAGTAGGGTTTTGTCCAGACTGGTCTTGAACTCCTGGCATCAAGTAATCCGTCAGTCCTGGCTTCCCAAAGTGCGAGGATTGCAAGTATGAGCCACCATACCCAGCCAATTCTCTGTCTCTGTAGATTTGCCTATTCTGGATATTTCGTACAAATAGAATCATATGTGCTCTTCTGGACTCTATCACTTAACGTAACACTTTTAAGGTTCATTCTTATGTAGCATGTTTCAATACTTAATTCCTTTTTTAACTGAATAATAGTCTGTTATATGAATATACCAAATTTTGTTTATTTATCACTTGATAGATACTTGGGTTGTTTCCACTTTTTGGCTGTTATGAATAATGCTGCTATGAACATTCGTGTACAAGGTTATGGACAATGTTTTTAATTCTCTGGAGTTTTTTATTCAAGGAGTGAAATTGCCGGGTTATGTAGTAACTCTATCATGTTTGACTTTTTGTTGTTGTTGTTTGAGACCATGTCACTGATGCCCAGGCTGGAGTGCATTGGTGCGATCTTGGGTTACTGCAGTCTCTGCCTCCTAGGCTCAAGTGATCCTCCAGCCTCGGCCTCCTGAGTAGCTGGGACTATGGGCACGTGCCACCATGCCTGGCTATTTAAATTTTTATGTTTTTGTAGAGACAAGGTCCTGCTATGTTGCCCAGGCTGGTCTCAAACTCCTGGCCTCAGGTGATCCTCCCAGCTCAGCCTCCTGAGTACCTAGGACTACAGACCCGTGCCACCATGCTTGGCTAATTTTTTTTGTTTTTTATCACTTTGTTGCCCAGGCTGGTCTCGAACTACTGGCTTAAGGGATCTTCCTACCTGAGCCTTCCAAAGTGCTAGGATTGTAAGCGTGAGCCATCACTCTGAGCCTAGAACTATCATTTTACCTTGCCCTGTATCGGTCCCCACCCCCTTTCTTTTGTATCATCCATTACGAATTTAACTCT